GAGAGAGAGAGAGAGAGAGAGAGAGAAAGAAAATCCCAGATAACGATCTCACACCTGAAACACGGCCACGGCATATTACCGCACCTGTGGGAATGCGTTCACCTGGTTGGCATCAGCTTTATAACAAATAAATTGAAATCGCGAGAGAGAATCGAATGAGTGTCCGTGATTTACGAGCTAAAACCGTACTGCTCGATGGAAAAATGCCATTGACACGAGATATTTCTCGATATCCTGGAGTGCGAAAAAGTATCAAAAAGTAAAAAGAAGAAACAAGTCAAAAAAAGAGAGAAAGAAAGAGAAGAAAATACGATGAGAGTAAGCTTGGCATTGGTAATGGAAAGAGAAGCGAGTTAAGAGAGTTGAAAAGGGTTGGGAGAGTAAAAGGGGAACATAAGGAGGGGGAAGAAAAAGGTAGGAAAAAATTGGAAAATCGACTAAACTAAAACAGGAACGATAGTTGATTGCCTTTCACGTTTATTTCTTCCTTCCTTCCTTCCTTCCTTTCTTCCATGCTGTGTTCCTTTTTTATTTTATTTTTTTTTTTCTATTTTATCAAATTTTTCCCACCCTCCCTCACTCCTTTTCCCTTTTACTTTCGACGTATTTTTTTTCTTCTTCTTCTACTTCTACTTTTTCTGTTTGCCTGGTATCGTTCTTTTTTCCCGTAGTATCGAAAAAAGAGAAAAAAAGAAAAAAGAAAAGAAGAAGGAGAAGAAGAAAATGGGAAAGACGAGAAACAACGGGGCAAAAATATCCCTCGAAGCGAAGTTGGAATCGAATTAAAAAGCTGCCCGAGCCAATTAAGGCATTTCGTAAAAGTTTAAGAGATTCTTTCCGCGAGAGAGGCCAAGCTTTTTCTCGATGCGCCTCGAGAGAAAGAAAGAGAAAGAGACAGACAGAGAGAGAGAGAGAGAGAGAGAAAGAGAGAGAGAGAGAGAGATGGCTTTTCCTTATTTCTCCTTCTCCATTAAGGGCCATTAAGCTGCTCGTTCTACCATATAAACAGAAAACGAGCAAAAGGAAAGGAAAGCTCGAAAGAAGAAACGAAGAGAGAAAGCGAGAGAGAGAGAGAGAGAGAGAGAGAGAGAGAGAGAGAAAAGAGAGTGAGAGAATGAAAAAGAGGAAGCATAAGAATTGCTTGAATGGAACAAGTTAAAAAGATTCCGAATATGAATCCTATTGTAATTTTCTAAATATTAACAACTACAAAAACACAATTCTAACGAAATTTTTCTTCTAGATTTTACATCCTCCATAACTTATATCAAATTTGAATCATTGATATAAATTTTTCCTTATTATTTTTTTTTTTTTTGTTTGATTCGAATGTTAATATAAGAATTTTGAATGAAAAGATTCAAGACTTTTCAACACGTCACGCGCACATATTTTTCAATTAATTTTTATTCTTATTGATTCGCGTGCGATTAATATTTTTAAACATTTTTTTTTAATAATATTAAGTAATAGAAAATTGTGTCAATATTTGTGACAGTTCGAGCAATAACAGCAGAAATTTTATTTCAGAGTTATCCAAAATTTTCTCGCGCGTTGCATACTAATAATTTATTAATAAATATTACAAGGTTTTTATGTATTAATCAGTGTAATAATAATTATTTAAATTAAATATGAATATTTGATTATAAATACTTAAGGAAAAATGTTACTAAATATTCATTCAGCGAATAGCTGTTCTATTATCCAATACAAAATTGTGTTGAGAAGAGAAAAAGACAAAGAGAGAGAGAGAGAGAGAAAGAAAGAGAGAGAGAGAGAGAAATAGCGTTTAAAGATGAGGCTTAAATCAGTAAACAGTTTTAAAGCTGTTATCCACATTGAGAATCCAGAGAGAACTCGGAAATTTCGGTTGAAGTCTTCACGTTTCCCTTTTGCCTCTTGCTGCTGAGCCCTCCTAAACTGGTGGCAGCTGTTCCGAAAGCCCTTTTCAAATATTAAACACCGGCTTCGCCCAACCCCTTCTTTCCTTTCCCTCTCACAATCCCTCTCTCTCTCTCTCTTTCTTTCTCTATCCACCTATCTATCTATCTATCTATCTATCTTTCTCTTTCTTTCTCTTTCTCTTTACACGCTTCCGCCTCTTGATAACGTTAATAGCCGTCAGATAATGTCATCCGGAGAAAATTGTATTAAACGAAGACGGAATGCAAATGAATAGAGTTACATTTAGGAATAAAGAGAAAGAAAATACATTCCATTCCCCCTGCCCACCCGGTGAGAAAACAAATTATCAAAATACACACACACACACGCAAATCTATTTATTACTTCATTAATAAACGAGAAAAGTAATCACCTCGTATTATTATATTTTCATCGAAATCTTGCAAATATTTGAATATAAATTAACGAATTACAAATAATTATATAATTAAGAAAAAAGATGAAAGAAGATACGATGTCTTAGAAACATTTACAAATACAAAAGCGAATTTATTAATATTATCGTTTAAGACTCATTACAAAAAAAAGTATACCCATTTGATTTCAATTGAAATGATCGTTAATGTATGAACATTTTGGATTTGTCTTTTCTTTAAATAAAGGTTTGAACAAAATAAATGACTTACCTTCGTAGACTGTGAGTAAGGCCTCGGCAGAAACCGCATCGCCAACTCCGTTTTCTGCAACGCATTCGTATGTTGTACTGTCTCGGCCTGCTCTGACAGGTTCGATCCGTAGCAAAGCTCCATGCTCGTAGTTTTGTACGAGGTATCGTGACTGGGATGCTGCGACAGTAGTAAAACGATCGTGAGTCAAGAAAATAAAGTATAGCGATAAGTAAGATGTTCTGTGTATATGCGTGCACGCGTTCGCGCACACGTATGTGTGTTTTTGTGTGTTTGTGTATGATAAACGAGTTACGTCGTGTCGTTAAAACATCTCTTACGGTTTTGCTCATACGAAAAAAAATAAAAAATACTTTACGAGACAACGAATGGGTGATACGAGTTGAGAAAAGAAAAGAAAAGAAAAGAAAATGACAAGAAGAAAAAAATATAAAATAAAAGTGAAAGTTAAAAGGAATAAGAGACAAAGGTTTAAGGAAGATATGAGAGAGTATAAAGAGAAGCGAAGAACACGAGTGTGTAGACCTTGCGAAATAAAATTAATGGGACGATGAGGATCGAGTTTAAACCGATCGACGGTGAACGATCTACAAGATTGCACGAGAAGGTTTCGAAGCAGTTACAAGCTATCATCTTCCTCCCACGAGATTAACGACCGAGCTGCCGCCGACTGCTTCGCTTGCCTGCATACGATAAGTGGATTGACAAATGCGATTTCACGTGATTATCCAGCCTTCGATGATCCTCATAGGATTAGTACGAAGGCAGTTACTCTGCAAGCAAACCAGGTAGAAAGAGAGAGAGAGAGAGAGAGAGAGGGATATAGAAACATGCTTGAATATTCTTGGCCAATCTCGTTAAATCCACAATCTCTTAGTTTTTGCTATAATAGACTTTACATGGATGTTAACGATCGATAATTCTATGCATAACATTCATCTTATCGATCTAGGTAAATATGGAATGTTAATGAGAAAGAAAAATTATATGAAAAATTATCGACTCGAAATTTTAGATACAAACAATATAATTGTTATTTGATATTTTAATTTAATATGTTTATTAATAGGATAGACTTGTGTCATAGATGTTATTAACGATCGATAATTCTACGCGTAAAATTCGTTTAATAGATACATCCATATATAATAATATAAATGTAAATCGAGAATAGAAGAAAAGGATGTAAAAATTAGTTACTTATAATTTATAAATAGATTATAATAAAGAAAATCAAATATCATTGTTTATCATTCAAATTCGACGTGTTCATTGATACGTTAACGATCGATCTATAATCCTATTTATAATATTCGCCTAATCCATAGATACAATTACGAAAAAAGAATAAAAGAATATTACAACTAATGATTTATATAATTCAAAAATTTCAACTTAACCGAAAATCGTTATTTACCATCGTAAATAAAACATATTTGTTTATTCAAATACGTGTCACGAATAAACGTATATAATCCTAATACACAATATATATTAACAGATAAAATTAATATATAAAATAACATCGAATCCCTTCAAAAAAAAAAAAAAAAAAAAAAAAGAAAGTATCCATTTTCGTTTCTATTTTTCTCTCTCTTTTTCTCTTTCGAATATATAACATCACAATAATCAATCGTCTTCGAGATTATTAAAACTAACTTGAGAACAGAAGAGAAGAGAAGTGAATGTTGCATATACATATATATGTATGTATGTATATTGTATATATTTCGTATAACCGATAGTCTGTTCGTTCTAGAGAAACTCTTGTACGTGCTTGACATCTATGTAGTGTTTAATGTGTTCAATGTGTACCGGTTGGCACAGCGGCGAGCCAAAGTACCGGTAACTCGAAACGATACAGATAAATCAATATTTGAGCGTATCCGTAGTACCTACTCCTGAGACTCCTGAAAATAATGAACCAAAACTGGAACTTCAAGGGAACTCGTACTTCTACCAAAGAGAGAATGGGAGAGAAAGAAAAATGAGATATATATATATATATATATATATATATGCACATACTCTTTCGTTAGGATCGATTTGTATTGTTTAGAGTCCCACGAGCAACTGATTCGTATCTATTGTTTACTTCGATACAGAGTAGTACCAAGGTTTAAGCTAATGTTTACATTTAGATTCGTATATAAATATAAGACTACTTAAATAGTGTATTACACACACGTACGTTCGTATATTATACTTAAATATACATATGTATTTATGTATATGTGTGTAGATGTGTGTAAGAAATATTATTAAGTGATTATATCCTGTATCGAAACAAGATACGTACTATAATGCTTACTATGTGCAATAAAATTCGTATATGTAATGTTCGTAATTTGTTGAATATCCATAAAAGAAAGAAAGAAAGGAATGAGAAATAATTAAAAAAAATGACGATAGAAAATTAGTTAGAATTAATTGTGGGATTGTCTTAAAAATATTCGGAAACAACACCACCTGTCACGTATTACCTACATCCTGTAGTTCGAAATTTCGGTCTGCAAGAGCGAGCAAGCAACTGCGAAATCTAATTCGAAAGGGACACCGTGTGGCTCTTGTGAAATAAAGAGACAGAGAAAGAGAGAGAGAGAGAGAGAGAAAGAGAAGGGATGGGAGAGGAGTAATTGCTGGTTTGTTCGTGAAATATTCTCCTATCTGTCGTGAATTAGTCACTAAGAAGAAAGAGAGCAAGAGAGAAAGAAAGATCAATGCTTGATCAAATTCCAAAAGATAGGATTGAATATAAAAGAACAGAAAACACGCGAGAAGATATTTAAAATTCCTTAATTTCTAGAGAGATTGTGAGTAAAAATTTCATTGAAATCATCTTTCTATTACTTTTCGGTTGTCCATTCGGTCGTTCGAAGCTTCTTCGAGAAGATTTTATTAAAAAGTTTCATTTCCAATGGCAAATTTGTAGCAACGCTTCTTTGATCCAAGTAAAAAAGAAGATCATAAAGAGAAAGAGAGATGGGTTGGGAGGTGGGGGGCTGGGGACTAGGGATAGAGAGGAAAAGGGGGAGTGGGTAGTTGTGAAGCAGCGAGTGGTCCGATGGTTGCTCGAAAGAACCACTTTCGAACGAAAGTTACGAAGAATGGGCAGCAAAAAGCCTCCTCCACCCCACCCCACCCCGACACTCCCCAGTCCAGCCAAAAAAGGCTAAAGTAAAGTAAGGAAGAAGAGTAAACTTACCTGTAATTCTTTTGCCATTTTTTCTCCAGTGTATTGTCGGGGGTGGTGCTCCTTGGGCCGTGCAATAGAAACTTGCAATTCCACCTGCCTTAACTTGCTGCGATTGAGGTCTCACCAGGATCATCGGTGGATCTATAAACAGAGAATAAACAAAAAACAAAACCATCGATTAGTAACGACATTTTCAATCGAAAAGATGATAAGAATATTATCGATTAAAATAACTATTTTCATCTTATTATACGCGATATAATAACGTATAAGTATAATAAGTATAAGAAGTATATAATAATAACGTATAGTAAAACGAACTTATTATACGTTATAATATGAGAAAAGAGACGGTAAGATACGATGATTTACGTAAGTGTGCGCCGTAAATAAAATCAGATAACAATCATTACAAACCTAACAAATTTCATCTTCTTATCTTTATAGAGAAGAAAAAAAAACTAACTCTCTCGACTAATATTAACCGATTCTTCGTTTAAACATTTTTTATTAAATTTAACTCAATTTTGTTAACATTTCAATATATATATATACTATATAACCCGCAATAGGATAAATAAAATAAACGAATTAAAAGAGTGAATATACAAAAAGAAAAAAAAAAAAAAAAAAAAAAAAAAAAAGGAATATATCGGTATTTGTATATCTATGGCGTGTGTATATACATATATCTTTTATAAACTTGCCCGCGCCAAAAAAAAGGAAGAGAAAAAACAAAGAAGAGAAAAAAAAAAAGAAAAAATAAAAAATAAAAAAGAAAAAACAAAAGGGGTATAAAAAAAAATCCTTTCAACCACAGCGACGATAGGTAGGAGTCAGAAAATTGGCTCTCGGTGTACACGCATGTAGGTATCGCGATTGACACGCTAATCGATGAAACGAGACGGCTTCAAAAATCGATCCTCGAATCGTTTGGAAGGACGAAGGCAGACAGACGATTTTATCGACGCCGGACATAGCCTGGCCCGGACGCGCGATGGCTACTCACGGTTGGCCCACCTCTTTCTCTCTCTTTCTCTTTCTCTTTCTCTTTCTACCTCACGGTGAGCGAAATTAGTCGGATTTAGTGCGGCGGAAAGTCCAAACTACCTTGCCACGCTTTTACCCACGAATAAAGAGACGGCCGCGGCAAGATGGATGAACGCGACGCCATCCTTTGTCAGGACTACGTGGTTTCTATCTCCCACCATAACCCCCCCTCGCTCCCCTCCCCTCTTACCAGTCACGAAACTACCAAGAAATAAAGATAGAGAGAGAAAGAGATACGGTTGGTTTCAATCTATATATATATATATGCTTGTTCGTTTGTTTGTACGTATTTATGTATGTGAGCGTGTGTAAGATAGAGAGAGAGAGAAGCAGGTAAAAAGGAAACAACAAAGAGAGTAAAAAAGCATCGAGAGAAAAAAGGGGTAGGTTTGTGGGGTTTGATAGGGTGGAAGGATAAAGAGAGGAAAGATATTGTATCTAGAGCGAGACTAGCAAGCAAAGTACTAAATTGGTCTCGAAAGTTGTGTCGGGTGAGGTACCGAAATCGATGGCGCGCCGTTTATGAACACTTTTCCGCATAGTGGCCGCTTAAATGAATATTCGTGAAGCATCCACACACCACGAATGAAGAGAAAAGCAAGCGCTTGTTGCCTCAGTTTGTTCGATGTGTGTATGCGCTTTTTATCTCATCACTTTATTGTCGAATACTCGACTTTCTCTCTCTCTCTCTCTCTCTCTCGTTCTTTCTGTTTCTCTCTTTATCTCCATTTCGTTTCACAATGGAACACCGCGAAAGGATTTTATTGTTTGGCTCCCGCTCAGGATAATGGATGATAATAAAACGTGATTCCCAGAGCGAAGTGCCGAAAGAACAGTTTTATATCAACGATTCTCGCGCTTCGAATTCACTCTAACGTCAAATTCTATGTAATAAAGATTCTCTCTTTTTCCTATTTTCCCCAAAGTTCTTTCTTTCTTTCTTTCTTCTTCTTCTTCTTCTTCTTCTTCTTCTATGTTTCACGTTCGCGTGGAAAATAGATCGACTTGGGTATCATTAAAAATACCTTCGAGACACCATAAAGCGTTTCGGTGGGGTTGTCCTTCACCTATCGTATGAATCGTCTGCTTTTCGAACAAATAAAATTCTATTTTATGGGTCCTCTTCTTCTCTCTCTCTCTCTATTCTTGTTTAAATTCGATTTAATAAAAAAAAAACAAGAAAAAGAAGAAGAAGAAGATAATTCTCGAACGATCCATCGTATCATTTAGGATACTTTTAGTTCTCTCTCTCTTTCTCTCTTTCTGTCTGTTTTTGTTGCACGTGAACGTGAAAAATAGATCGACTAGATTTCATTGAAAATACCTTCGAGACGCCATAAAGCGTCTCCGGGGTTGTTGCCTTATTAACGTAAGAATCGTCTGCTTTTCGAACAAATAAAATCTGTTCTATAGTATTCTTGTTTCTTATTTTCTCCTTGAATTCGATTAGAAAAAGAAAAAAAAAAAGAAGAAGAAAGGATAATTCTCGGATTAACCGTCTAATTCGAGATAATTTTAAATAGATGATCTTTCGAAATTTATTGTTATTGGAGAGATAAATTTGACAATCGGAAAATTAATTATCTTTTGACAAAGGATATCTATGTTTTAATTCAAAGTTTCCGCTGATAGATTTCGAAGAACATAAATATTTCTATTATGTATAAGGAAAGAGTAAGAGAAAGAGAGAGACAGAAAGAGAGAGAGAGAGAGAGAGAGAGAGAGAGAGAGAGAGAGAGAGAGAGAGAGAGAGAGCGAACTGTACGTCGATAATTCGTGAAAATGTAACAATATTATCGAACAGAAAATTCAATAACTATATCCGTTTGGATCTATGGATCATTTACGTTAGATCATACGTTACGTGATTTATGAAATACGTTCGTTACACGAACCCATGGATTGTGAGAATCGATGAATTACATTTTCGAAATAAGCTAAATATTATTCATATCCATTCAGACAACGTTTATAATTTTTGATTGAATCGTGTTCGATGGAAAATTATATACTTCGCAATAGAAAAAAAGAGAAAGAGAGAGAGAGAGAGAGGGAGAGAGAGAGAGAGAGAGAGAGAAAGAGAGAGAGAGAGAGAGAGAAAATGTGCATTGTGCGTTCGAACAAATTGTTGCCATTCGTTCGCAACAAGTCCATTAGTCGATTACATTTATTCTACACGTTCGTTTCCCTTAAAAGCTCGGATATAGAGAAATATAGTCAATGATCAGGAAATTTATTGAATCGGATGTGCTAAAATAAAGAAAGAAAGAAAAAAATAAAAAAAAAATAAAAAAGAAGAGAACAAAAAAATTTCTATCAATGATGTTATTTATTAACAGATAAATTAAAGCTATTAGATTTAACGAAGAAAAAATCTTCTCTCTCTCTCTCTCTCTCTCTCTCATATTCGATTCTTCACAATTCCATCAATCCTCGTGAATTTTTGACAAGGCTACGAAAAGATATGACGATTGTTTCGAAATGAAATTGAACGAACGAATAAACGAAGATGTGGGATGTGGGGGAGGGGGATGAGATGAGTCTCTAAAGCTAATTGACTTTTTAGTACAACGAAATGAATTATTTTCACGTTCGATATTTAGAATTGGGCGGTATAACAGCATTTAACTTACGTGGGTAGAAGTATATAGGGGTTTTTAAAAAAAATATATTAAGTTTGTCTTCTATTATGAAAGTAGCTAGAGTAGCAATGGCTGGTAAAAGGTGAGAGGAACGATAAAACTCATTTTCGAAAATTTCGAGGTGGTGTAATGGCGTGAGCTCGTTCGTTCGTTGGTTGGTTGGTTGGTTCGTTGGTTGGTTGCACGGCCTCGATCGAGCCATTTCGTTCTAAATAGCTTCGAAGACTCTTTCGACATTACGGAGAATCCTTTATGGAGTAAGACCACGCTAGCATGAGCTACAGAAGAGAGAACACGAGAGTGAACGAGTAAGAGAGAGAGAGAGAGAGAGAGAGAGAGATCGAGGTCAAGCTATGCTCGTTAAAATGTTGCTATATCGTTGAAAGAACAGGGTCACGGTATGTTCCCAAAGCGTAACAATTTTCCGATCGTCTACTCTCCCACAAGATCCTTTTATCAGAGGTTGTACGATAATAGAAAGTATTGAAGAGTATTATTATTATATACGTATCATCATCGTTAAATAAAAAGTGAAGTAGGATGATTCTTTTTCTTTCTTTCTTTCTTTCTTTATTTCTTTATTTCTTTCTGACGAACTTCTTTTTCGCAAAGACAAACGAAACGGGGAAAATGAAAAAAAAAAAAAAGAAAATAAATAAATGTAAATATTCCTTTTGGAAAGTAATAATAATAATATATAATAATAATATTATTAATATTATTAATAATATTCTCAGCTATTGAAGCAAGAGATATATAAAGAAGAACAGGATGAAAGCGGTAATAGGATCTACAATCCCTTGTTGATCTACGAGTCTCGAATAATAAAACGAGAACGAGTGGAATACAAATGGAATCGAATGGTAGAGGAAACGTGAAACGCCGAATTAAATCAGGGAATTACATTCCGAATGATAATTCCGCTCATTAAAAGTCGCCTTGATACATAGATATGTATCCATTATGTATGGATACCAAATTTGTTTTTGATGGTATCGGTATAGTTTCGTTTATTGAAATTAATTGTTAACGATTTGAAAATAATCGTTTTAAGATACACGTTGTGTGTTTGTGTTTGATATTGCGTTAAAGGTTAGAGTGGAATGAGGATTGGGGATAGGTAGGTAGGTAGGTTATTGGATAGAAAAAGATACAATGGTACGAGGTGTTGGTAAGAAGGGGGAAAAAGAACGAATGGAAAAAGGAAAAAAGTCAAAGTCTTTGAAAAAGGTAACGCACGTGCCGGTGTTGCTTTAGGCAGAGACGCTGAAAAAAAAAAAAAACAGAAAAAAAGAATGAGAAAGAAAGAAAGAAAGAAAGAGAGAGAGAGAAAGAGAGGGAGAGAGAATGAACGAGAACGAATAGGAAAAGTGCTGGTAAAAGGACAACTCGGAGAGTGTACACAAAGATTAAACGCCAAGGAAAATTAGATTGCGAAACGCGAGGCAT